TCAGCGTTTTGCTCAGCGTGCGGGGAAAGCCAGTTTTAACTCCAGTGATCCTGGCTTCTGGATGGAGCCAGTTAAAGTTCTGCAGTTTCTCCTGGAACCATGTCTTGTCTTGTCTTGTTGCTGGAATCTTGGAACTCTGAACCTGCCCGAACGCTCTGTGGATTTCTGGAACCCTGGATCTTTCAGTTCCTGTTTGGATCGGAACCCCTGACCAGGCTACAGACTCCTGGATCTCAGAACGATCCTGTTTTGAACCGTTTCCCTGACCTGGATCGGTCTCTTGCCTGCTCACTGGGGTTGCTGCATCGGGGACACTCTGGATGGCTGAGCGCCGCATTTCTTTGGCAGTGCATCGGCTGATCCTGCCTCACCCGAGAAGATGGACTGAACTGTTAAACCAGGTAAGTGACTCACACGGATAATTATCTTCTGTCAGATTATCGTGGTCACTTACCTGTGGTTCTCCCTCAACCAGAGTGCCAGTGATGGGCGATGCTCCGCCCTCCCCTGCAGCGGTTGCAGGTCCACTGATCCACAGCAGCCCATGTTCTATTTTGTCTCTGTTCTGTTCTGCCTAATATTCTGTCATTAAACGTTTTGAAACTTCCCACTGTCTGACTCGCCTGAATACTGGGTCCATCTGTCCCGTTTTACTGACAGTTGCAGTCGGGCAAATTGTACTTTGCAATGGTACATGCCAATTGTGTGGAGAGATAAGTGTGATTCTAAAGCTTGTTTTCAGGATGCCCGTAGGTAAAACCATTCAACAGTCATGTGAGGTAAGTGTTGAAAATGACAGAACTGTTCCAAATCGGCAACCAAATCTTGTTTTTCTCCTTTCACTGGAGAATATACACCAGACATGCTCTACCAGGATCAAAGAAGATTTCTATACAGGGATGGACCTGACCGGTTTACCTTGCAACTTAAGAGATTTTTTATCGTATTTTACCTAAAGCAGACCAGTTTTACTCTGCCATCATGTCTCACTTCCTGTCAGACTAATGACTCACCTTTTAAAATTGGACTTACATCTGACTAACATAGACTGGGGGTCTACTTTGGCTGGAAACTACATAAGCACAAGGCAGCCCCATTCATTTCTACCTAATGCCTGCAACTTTATACAATCTGTTCATCTGTCAGATCGGACATTATATCAGATCTGGTTTGTCTCGACCTCAACTCTTCCCACATATCAGAATCTACCAAGGTCTCACCCACAGACAGAGAGGAAAATAAAATCTGTCATTTTCAGCATCAAAACAAAAATGGCTACTTTATCACAATTAATAACTTATACAGAGTGATAACAAATTGTGAGTTCTGCTCATGATATAGCCATAAACCTGTGATCTTTTTTCAGCGTCTACTTCCTGAATTATGATCCCTTCAAAGTCAAAGGAAGTTTGTAGCATTCACATACAATGAGTAAGTAAAGCCCAGCAAACGTCCCCCATAGCCTCATTAGCCACACCTTGTCATTCCTCCTGGCTTCTGGTTTGTTTTGTTTGGGCCTCAGGACACAATAGTTAAAAAAAATACCTTAATATTACTGCAATTGAAGGATTTACTACCATTATTTGGCTACATTCTAACCTAGAGGTCACACAAGGGCCAACCAACAGCATGGAGCAAGCAAAGGGGCAAAGCATAATCATGTCTATTTTTCCATTTTCATTAAAAGCCAAGTTAAAATAGAGTCAAATTCATTGTTTTTGTCCACAGACTCTTGCAACTAAAGGTGATTCTGACTGTAATAAGAATAAATCACTCCTAAAAAACATCAACCTATTTGAAAGTGGAGCGGTCTGTGATTTTCTACCCTGGTCATTTTTTACTCTGGTAGACACAGAGGCAACGGAGGCTGTTCATCCCCTTCAGCAACTCCACTCCCCCAGTTCCTTTCAAACTCCCCCTCTGGAAACATGGGTCTCCACAAACCAACGTCTTATGGCATGCTGACGATTTAAAACATCAGGTTTTATACAGGGTTTATACAGGAACTATAATTTTATTCTTTTTAATGCTCTTAGAAATAATTTTAATGCCATCAACAAGTACCCATGAATCTCATATATATATAAAAAACACGCCAAAATCCTTTCTCATCTTTACCATCGACAGGCTGCAGCCATCTCCCAAATTCCTAATTTTCCAGCCACTTTAGTTGACATTTGCATTTTCGCATTCTCTAGCTTTTTCTCTGCCTCGAGATTCTTTTCCGAACATACAGCTTTATGATCAACCAGAAGCAGCTCCACGCAAACACGCAGAACCAGTTATATCTCATATATATGACAAAATACTTTTTATATTTATATAATTTATTTTTAATAAAGCATTTAAATGCCACGATAATCCCATTTAATGAAATCCAATGCCAATTAAGGCCTTAATTAAAAAAATATATAATTTAATGACTTTTGAGGATTTTTAATGACCCGCGGAAATACTGTTATACTTTTGTCAGTTGGTAGCTTTGCCTGTCAGTAGAGAATTTCCAAGTGCTTTACATGTTTATTCCGACTGGCGAAGTTAGCGAAGCTAGCAATGTGTCTAATGTTTTCTAAAGGTGATGTTTTGGATCTTAACATGGCACCTTTTTTAAATATAAGGTGGTGCTTCTGGTGCTAAAATCTGGCTGTACATGTGGGTTCAAGTCTTTGGAAGTATTAGAAATAGGCATTAAAAGTGCTTCTTTTGGAAAAGTTACAAAAAAATTGTAGCATTGGTCTCGTGCTGTTTTTCTTTTCTTTTTCTACTTCTTTGCTTAATCATAGCTGATTAGATATTAGTTTGACTAATAATCAAACTCTTGGTTCTGCAGGAGATTAGCTCTCTGATTTTAATTTCCTTTATAAGAATTGAAAATTCTTGTTCAATTATTGTTGACTTATGATAGATCCAAACTTCCTGCAATATAAGCCTTAAAGCCTCCTCCTTCCTACATGCCCTTTGTTTTAAACAAAGATGGATAAAATGAACAGGTAGACAATCCAACAATTAATCTGATTTTCATAAAAAACAAATCATTACCAGCATTATCAGAAATAATGCAGAATAATATCACCAAAAGAAGATCTAAAATGACTGTTTTTCTTCTAAATTTGCATAAATGTTACTGAGGTTTTTTAAATTTGCAGCAAACACAAACATCCACACACTGACCTCGGCTGTAGTGTGTCTCTGGCTTCACTACAGCAAAAATACTGTGTGCTTTTGTTCACAAGTCAGCATGTGTGTGTCAGGCATGTGCATGACTACTGCCATTATAATTCTGGGCAGGTGATCAGACTTGACCCCCACTAACTATGTCTGGCCCGCCAGCCAAGATCGTGTGCCAAGTGTCTGGTGCTGCCCGACTCCCCACTGGCTGGTTAATGAAGGGCTTTTGCGGGGGAGTTGGGCTGAGGGGGGGTGTGGGGTTGCTGGAGGGGAGGGGCTCACTCTGCTGCTTCATTTGCAAGCTTCCATCGGGCCCAGCTGTTGATTCACAGCTCCTCTGCCACAACAAACAGAGGCCACACAAGGGCCAGCCGGCAGCACGGAGCAGGCAGAGCGGGACACTGGCAGGCAACGCTGGGGCCCCCTGAAAGAAGGCCTCGCCGATCAATTTCTACACTGTCGCTACAGAAACAGAGCTGTCTCTAATGGGCTCAAACTGAGGAACGTCTGACTGCATTCTTCTCCCTCCCTCCCTCCCTCCCTCCTCTATCCATCTCTATCTATTACCACCTCCATTATCTCCCTGGCTCTTCCTCCTCCTGGCCCTCCCATCTCCCCGCTTTCACCTGCTCCTCTGGAACAAATCCACAGCTGTCTCGGCTGACTCTAAGCAAGTGCACAGACTGCAGAACAAGCCACTGTTTCCTCACTGCAGCCATTTGTCTGTCTCTAAAATCCCATAATGTTGATTGGAAGTTTCTCTGCAAGCCTAAAATTAATAAGGCAAAGTTTCCAAACAGTGCACAGAACAGTGAAAACTGATCTTTTTCAGTGAAAAAAGGGGAGTGGGTATTGTAAGGGCAAATGCTGCTATCCTAAAACATTGTTTTCGAGTTTGCCTGCCTTTACTCCCCCTCAGTGACTCCCAAAGTGCACTTGATTTTCAGCAAACCCCGACTACACTGCTCCAAATGACAGAAGGGTGTGTGCTCTGCCAGAACAGAGGGGTCCATTCAGCGCCGTGCTGTTCTCTGCAAATGTTAGCTCTGCCAAGACATTAGTACTGCCCTGCAAAGCATCGCCCACCAGGCCGAGGGTGACCTGTTTGTGGTCATGTAGCATTAGCATGTTGCAAACGGGCCTCAAAGATATAGAAACAGGGACGCTTTCCAGATTTTATTAGCAGCAGCCTGCATTTAAAACACCAGAAGCAGCGATGGCATTTCTTGATTCCTTCATGGCTCTAAAAGCAGAAGGTTTTGTACTCTGGGGAATAAAGTCAGCTTATCTCTGCATGGCTCAAATTGAACTTTGCAGGCAACCTGTTGATTTTACAGATGGGTATAAGCACCACTTATCAGATTAGGTCAGCTAAAGATTCTTCATCAAATCAGTTTTCCTGCATCTTACTTTATGCAAATCAGAGCAGACAAAAAAATCATGATTGAAAGATTTCCTTTTAAAATTTCTGATCATCTCAAACAAAATAATAAAAAGAGAGATTATAGATTAACCATTTGGGCTTATTCTGGTCAGCAGAGATTCTTTTTCCCCAGTAAAACTATTTAAAATATCAAGCAAAAAAAAGTACAATTCATTCCCTGACAAAAAATATTTTGACTTGGATAGTAAAAAATAAGTATCTTTATCAGATTTTAAGCATTGGATCAGAGGCTGATGCATGAAGAGTCAAAACAAAGTTGGAGTTTGTTTGATGTATTTCAAATAAATCTGTTTTTAGTAATAACCTACAAACCACCATAGAATATTAAGGAAAAATGGGTGTGATTATTGACGCATGTCTAATTTGGGTAAATAATTCCAAAACATACCAAAGTATTCCTTTTTCATATGCATCTCCAACTCCTTCTCCAGCTCCAAGGTGAGCGCCTCCAGCCGTTTCTCCGCCTGGCTCGGCCCATTCTCCCTGCTGGGGGTCACCTGGTAAGGTAACTTATACCTCTGGCCTGATGAGGCCGCCTTTGAGGTAACGCCGTAGCTGAAGGAGGACGGTGAACCGGCGTTTATCTCCGCGCTCCCTCCCGGATGAGGCTGAGGTTCGGGCACCGTCTGCAGATGCATGCGAGTCTGCATCCCGTTGGAGTCTGCGAGCTCCTGCAGTAAGGCGTCCTCAGGTAACCCGCTGCCCAGCATGGAGGACCTGGGTGAGGGCAGCTGCAGGTCCGGGTAGGTGCTCATAGACCCCCTGGAGCTGCGGGAGCTTCTGGAGCTGTGGCTGGAGATGCTGGAGCGCGGGCTGAGCACGCAGTTGGCCGCGGCCCCGGCTCTAGCGCTCCCGTCCTGGCTGCAGAAGCTGGATCGGGGACTCGCCAGGGGCGCGCCGTGCAGGATGGCCCCCTCCAGGTCATGGTTGACCACAGGCCCGTACCGAGAGTCAGAGTAGCTGGATCTCGGACTGGTGGTAAAGGAGTACTGGCTGGCCGTGCTGGACCTGGGACTGGCGTGCCTCTGGTCGTAGCCCATGCTGATGCCGCTGGTGCGGTTGCTGCTGGGTTTGCTGCAGCAATCGCAGCTGTTCAGGCTGGTCCGGGGACTGGAGTGCTTGCTCGTGTCACTGGCCGTGCTTGCATAGCTGGATCGCGGGCTGAGGATGCCGTTGCCCTCACAGTGAACCAAGCTGGACCTGGGGCTGCTGTATCGGTCGTGGGTCGGTACCACCAGGCTGGTGCGCGGGCTGCTGATGCTCGATCGCGGGCTGGCATGCTTGCTTTGCTCCTGAGAGGACAGGGAGGACGCCAGGCTGGAGCGGGGACTCGCTGCGCCGTACCTCCCGTCGTGGCTGCTGGTTATGCAGATGCTGTTGCACCTGTTGCCGGGCAGAGGCGCCGCTTTGCTGAGAGGGACTCCGTCAAAAGTGGACCCGGTGCTGTACCTGTGTCCCTGCACCTCTAAAGAGTACCTCCGGTGCCTTTCGGATGTGCCGGGGTAGCAGGGCAAAGCCACTTCGGATTTGGTGCAGCAGCCCTCCTCGGTGAACGGAGCGTCTCTCTGAGGGGCGCAGAAATCCACGGGAACCGTCCGGCTGCAGCTCACCGGACGCACAGGAGCCGCGTTATACACTTTATTCCCCGGCGTGAAATTCTCCAAAGTGTGATGCTGCTGGTGGAGCACAGAGGTACCATTCATCGGCTTGGTTTTCAGCCCAGCCACCGCCGGAGCGGAGAAGTCTAAATCTGGGTTTATAACCAAGTCCCTCCTGGCGTTATACATCCCTTCTTTATAAGCTTCATACAGCGTAAGGTCCTCCATCAGTGTGGCGGCCCGGAGTCCCAAGTCCTCCTCATAATGCTCCATGTTGCGCTCCAGATGAGAGAACCAAGTTGAGAGTGCGCTGCGCTCCGCGGAGCTCCTAATTGTGTTTCACATGGAAATCAAAACAAAAACGCCGCTGCGCAGCCGTGGCTCCTTCACGCAAAAACGCCGGCGGAGGCGCAAACCCGCACCGCAAGCCGCATGATCCTCCTGCTTTCCTCCCAACACCGAAAAACTCTTTCTCACAGTTCCAGTCGACGGCGATGCGTTTGTCAACTTCAGTTTTTGTTAAGTTGAAAGGTCTTTACAGTCAATGGCGCGCTGCGCGGAGGAATTTCCCCTTGTTGGTTTTTCCTCCGGGATTCCCTTACAGGCGCTTCAGTGGAAGCTGGACCGGTTTGAATAATCCCTTATAGCACAAATAGGCTTCTTTTATCAGTCTGCGTCTAGAAAAAGCAGGGGAATTGAATTTAAAGGCGGTTTTACGCGGGGGACTCGTTCGCCTGAAAGGAATGCGGGGAGGGAGACGGGATGCGCTGCGCCTCTCTGGAATGTGGTTAATGCTGCAGAGAAACAATGATTGCGACCAACTCAGCAAGGGGCTGCCCGGCTCTGAAGAGAATAGTTTACAGGAAAGGGGACGTCTGCATTCATCCTTTGCAAAGTGAAATACGCCATAAAGAAAACCTCACCTGGTCGGACTCTTTCTGCAGCAGAGATGCACTCTGCAGGCATTATGTTTTCTTTTTTTAGTTTCCATTTCTTTCAGATAAACTCATAATCTGAAAATTTTTCTGAAAATGCTATATCAGGAGTCTGTTACAAGATAATACAGTTAAACCAAAGTTAGTAGGTCATTTAAGGCCANAACTCATAATCTGAAAATTTTTCTGAAAATGCTATATCAGGAGTCTGTTACAAGATAATACAGTTAAACCAAAGTTAGTAGGTCATTTAAGGCCAATTTGTAAAACAGTAATCTGGAGGAAACCTCCAAAATCTAAACCCAACTGTATTTTCTTCACATAAAACTTTTTTTTTTCTAATTTGGCATAAAAATAAAACTCTCCAATGAATGACCACAGTTAGCAGAATGTAATTTTTTCTAATGATACTTTAAAAGTGTATTAGAGATTGACCGATTCAGGTTTTTTTCAAGCCTAATGCCGATTATTTTTCGGTCTAACTGATCCCCGATATGTGCAGCCATTTTGGATTTCTCTTCTTCTATTTAAACAAATACTACACAAGTCCATCATCTCTTTCTCTTTATTTCTTTCAGATGAACTCATAATCTGAAAAATTATCTAAAAATGCTATATCAAGCGTCTGTTACAAGATTATAACTAGTGGTGCACCGATATCGATACCAGTATCGGCCGGGGCCCCGATCCAGCACTAAAATTGTGGTATCGGAATCGGCAAGTACCAACAAATAGGGCACCGATACCACTTTGAAATCCACAAGTTTTGCAACTATTGTCAGCCATTCCAGGTAGGCAATTAAAAGTTCTACTGGATTATTTTACATTCAAGTAGTATGAAGTTATTCATATATACACACACACACATCAATTTAAAACAGATGGAATTGGTATCGGGTATAGGTGCCAAAAAATGGCATTGGTGCAACACTATTTATAACGCTTTATTAGGCTGCACACTTACAAATGCATCATAAATATGCATATCATCAGGTTGATTTCAGTAAATAACTTCAAAAAATGAAACTTAAATGTATTTTATCCCCTTTGTATGCTCTAAGTATTATAGTTCTGATGAATATGGCACTGTGTCTGCACTAACATTGCAACATGAAGGCATTTAAGATCTGCTGAGGTGTTTAAGATGTCCTTTCCTTTAACAACAGACCTAATTTCATGCATTGTTAGGTCAGGTGTCTTGTTCCCTTATAAAGTTTGGGACGGGGTATTTTGCTACTTGGTGATACACGAGTTTTTAAAGGTGGTATTGATTCTTCTGGCAATGCTGACAGGTAAATAAAGTCTTAAGACCTCTTTGATAGACCTGACTGGATGAAGATGACATGACTTATTAAATCTTTTACGATTACTTCACTCTCCTCCAATTTCTGAATCTGTAATTTCAAATTAAAATGAACACTTAATCTTTTTATTTGGACAATTAAGCAATACCCTTGTACTTTTTCCCCCCCTGTTGTTTAGAAGCGACTTAACACAATAAATGCCAAAGTATCTCAGTCTCAGGTGTTCTTTAACTCAGATTCCAATTTGCTGTCAAAGCCTCATGAAACCAGTTAAATAGACTTTGCTTCAGAATCTTCTGGTGAGTGCAACTCTTTAAGCATGTTTTTTCCTTCCACTCAACTTTCCTACTAACATGCGTGTAAGCAGCACTCTGTTGTCTCTAAATTTCTACTGAACAACTGTCAAGTCAGCACCGCTCCCATGACTGACTGGACCCTAAAATCACAATTATCCTTTTAGGCACTACTAGAACATTACCATGGAAATTAAATTAGACACATTGCAAATTTAATTACGGTATTTGAGCATACATTAAAAGATTTAAACTGAAATACTTCAAACTGTTAAATTTGGTTTATTTATATAGGACTACAGTACAACATATAAGGCAACTTTATAAAGAGGCTCTATTCATCCGCAGATGTATAAAATCCAAGGTCTTAATTAAGATAAAAACACTTCATTACAATTCGTCATAGAGACTGAGTCATATCAAATTATATACAATGAAATTTAACAACAGATTCTTATACAGTACAACCAAAGTTAGTAGGTCATTTAAGGCCAATTTATAAAACAGTAATCTGTTTAAAGAACACAGCTGAGGAGGAAAACTCCAAAATCTAAACCCAACTGTATTTTTTTTCACATAAAAACATTTTATTTCCTGAGTTGGCATAAAAAAATAAAACTCTTCAATGAATGAACACAGTTAGCAGAATGTATTTTTTTTTTCTAATGATACTTTAAAAGTGTATTAGAGATTGACCGATGCAGGTTTTTTTTTCAAGCCTGATGGCGATTATTTTTCGGTCTAACTGATCCCTGATACGTGCAGCCATTTTGGATTTCTCTTCTTCTATTTACACAACAAAAAAGGCACCACCAAAACAAATGCCACAGGAGTCTGACTATAAAGGAAAAGAAATCTTTATTAACAAATTTTACTTGTATAAAAAAAAAAACACTAACAAAGGTTGGACCAAAAATATCTGCACCTCACATGATCTCAAGGCTTTGCAAGCTGAATGCACTGGTAAATCGAACAATGCAAATCAACCGATACCGAAACATGACAAAAAAATGCTAATATTGCCCGGACGTCATATTGTATAGGACGGCTGATCTGTTTTTCTTTCTTGGCTGACTTATTAGTGCATTAGGCAGCAATGCCTTGAAAACGCATGAAGCGCATGCATTCTCCTCCCTCCATTTTCGATTTATTGTTAATGTTTTCTTTGATTTATAAACAAAAACAAAAAAAATATTTGTATTATATTGACAACTGTTTAATATTGATTACTATATAGTCATTTAAACAGAGGATGCGATAGCAATATCAGTTTCAACAATTGCCAGAAAATATTGTAAACATCGGGGATCGGTTAGGCTGATGTCAAAATAATCTGTGTTGGTATTGGTCTATCTCTAATAATAATAAATCAGTAAAAAAAAACATAAAATTGTGAGTTCTTATCCCTTCTAGGAGGATTAAAACAGAGAGATAGTCTTGGATGAGTTTTATTAGTAACTAAGACAGGTTGGTCCCATTATATTGTAAAGCAGATGCTTTGTTAATTTCTGCTTTTGTGCAAAAAAGAACATTTTAGATCGAATAGATTTGAAAACGTCTAGCATCTATTGCAGTATTTTTTGAAGGATCAGGAGCACTGATCACATAGCTGATTGTGTGAAAAGTTCTGTATAAATACATTTGGATTGATGGATGAAGCCAGGCTTTTCACCAGCTGCCAGCAACAGGAAGAAAAGACAGGACCACAGCAATAAAAGCAGAAACAAACAGGATGTTGAGCATAAATCTCCAGAAGAAGGGACTCTGACATCTCCTCCCGTGGCCTCTGCTCTTGAACCACTGAACCACCTCCTGCAGGTTGTGCTCCTGCGGCTCATATCCCAGCTCCTTTCTGGCTTTGGCCATGCTGAAATAATGTGTGACGCCTGTTTTATAAACCTCTGTGCGAGTCAGCAGGGGCTGGAAGTTGTAGAGCGGACCAATTATGTGGTGGATCATTTCAGTGAGGAAGGCAAACAGGTAGATGAGTGAGATGGGGAGGCGCAGTTTGGGGAAAGGATAGCCCAAGCCTTCAACCAGAGGTCTGAAGAATTCAAAGTTATTGACAGGCTTCCCATCAGAAATGAAGTATGCCTGGCCGGCAGAGCGGTGCTGCTTCTCTGCAGTCAGAGCCTCTGCAGCAAGCATGTGAGCGGACACCAGGTTATCCACATGGACAAACTCCACCAAGCTGCTGGGACTGCCATAAACAAAGCTAAAGATCCTCTTCTCTATGTAGCTAACTATTCTAGGGAGGTGCCTCTGCTCACCGGGTCCATAGATACCTGCTGGACGCAGAGCGCAGGTCCTCAGCACCTCAGAGCTACCAGTCAGGGCTGTTCCGTTTGCCTTTAGCACTGCCATCTCAGCCAAGGACTTGGTTCTGGAGTAATGGTCGGGATGAAGATGGAGCGGCAGATAAGGAAGGCTTTCGTCGCCGTTCTCTATCACTTGGCCTCCGAACACCACGTTGAAAGTGCTGGTGTAAACCAGTCTCGGTACTCCGTTTTCCACACAGGCTCTCAGGATGTTCTTGGTGCCCTGAACATTGACCGCCTCGATCAGGTGTCTGTTCAGCTGCTCCCTACCAGACATGCCATAAGAGGCGATGTGAAACACGCAGTCAACACCCAACGCAGCTTTCTCAACTTGTGCGTAGTCACGTATATCTCCTTGCATGAAGACCATGCCTTCAGGAAGTTCTTGGCTTGGACGAACAGCGTCGAACAAAACGGTTCGGGCTCCTCTTTTATGCAGAGCAGATGCAAGGCTGAAAATAAACAATTTAAAATAAATAAATCTCACTGAAACTCACGGATAATCTAATCTAAATAAACACAGCAATAAAGAATATAATAAATCACCATTCTAAGAATCCAAAAGAAGAGAAAAAAAAAAAACACCCAGATAATTAACACGACAGCACCACCTTGTGATCATTAAGCAGAACTGCATCAGGTAAGTAGCCCAAACTGAAACATTTTGATAAATAATGCGTTTTTACCGAAATCCAAAGTAGCCACAACCTCCCGTTAATAAGAACACCTTCTTGTCCATTTGTGTGCTTTCCATCGCAAGAGAGAATCTGTGCATTGAGGAGTAGATTAAAGACAAAGATAAAAATAATTACAAAAAGAAACATTAAAATTATGAAACGATAAATTTATTGGACTGAATAAAAATGTATTGTCTTTTCTGAATCCTCTAAATTTAAAACTTGGGTCGTTTTCATGGATTTTGCAGCATATTACAAAAGATTTAAAAAAGTTGTCCTATTTTTTTCATTTTTGCCCTGTCTCAATCATTGACACATAACCGAATTAAACAGCTCCTTTAAAAAAACAGACCATTATCAAAGTAAAATTTTAGACAAGATATAATCTTTATATATTCATTTAGAGTTTGAAGTCATAACACAGCACCAAGCTATCGGTGTTTACAGCATTAACGACCATTTTTCAACACTTGGTGAGTAATTTCTAGTGTTTAAGTCTATTTAGATTTATCAGCAGCTTTTGGTTTAATTATTTGGTATTGAGTTAAGAACATGTAGGTATTCACTTAAAGCCCTTATTTCTGTTTTTTATTTGGCAGACCAGAGTTTGCCTGCTCAGTTATTTTATATCTGCACATTTGGGGTCCTCTGGTTCACTTCCATCCATTTTGATTGATTGAATGATTGACTTTATTGCTATTCAAGAGAAATTCAGGTGAAATGTACTCATTACATCAGCTCAAATTGTCAAAAGAGAAGAATGTGCCAAAGGAAGAAAAAGGTGCATGGGTTATATACAGTATATACACTGACTCCACATATGACAGCTTATTTTATTTTATTTATAGGATTATTATACAGGGTTATTGCACAGGGTGTATACATGGGTATTTATATAGATGGATATTTATATTCATATATCTATTTTGTAGCTTTTGTCTTATTTTATCCATGACTAAAGTGAGAAATCCATAATATTTCAAATTTACTAGAAGAGTGTAACACCCGGAGGTGTCAAGTATCAACATACAAATACTTTGTTACGTTACTTAAGTAGAAATTTTGTCTAATTTACTGGAGTGATTATTTTTTAGAACCGTTTTTACTCCTACTTCTTACTTTTTTTTGCAATTATCTCTACTTTCTTCTCCTTACATTTTAAAAATAGACTTGTTAGTTTTGATTAATTTAAGATTATTTTAATTATGGCCTGTTGATATTTAAAAATGTATAAAAAGCATCAAAATAACTAGTTCCATTCAGACAATTAATTTCTTTGTGGTTGGACTTGGTGCTGCCCCAACTTGTTGTTCACGTACCAGAATTAATATTTTTCCATGATGATCCAAAGTTAAATTTTACACTGTTGCCATTAGTTATTAAACTAAGAAAATTACGTCTAGGAAGTTATCATTCAGGATTGTAAAATGTTCCTTTAATAGGATAGTGCAGTAAAGCTTCTGTCCTTAACATTTTTCCTGCATTACTTTTATACTTCAAGCAGTTTTAAAAACTGTACTTTTACACTTTTAATTGAAAAAAGCTTGAGTTGGTCCTCCAGCTTCTACAAAAGTGTTTTTATACAGCAGTATTCCCACTTTTACTTTAGTAATAAACTTGAGTATTTTTTCGCCCTAGATATCTTTTATACCTCAGTGTTACTTCATCCCTTGTTGTTTTGGCCTCTATTTATTCTATTGTTTGGTTGTCTTATTTGTGAAGCACTTCTGTAAACTTTTCTCATTGATTGTAGTATAAAAATAAATCTGATAAGAATGTCATGTTTAGCTTTGCTTCTGTTAACTTTGATTCTACGTTGTGTTTTGGTTGTGTTCATATCAGATAGTTTGATGTTGATCTAGAAAATACTTTTTTTCTTTTTTACACACGTTTAGGAAAACCTTTGCACATTTGCGTGAGATTTAGGTTTCCTCGGATTGTGACGTCATAATCGGAAAAAGTAAAATAACATAGAAAATCAGGGGCTATTCATACTGCAAGAAAATGTTTTTCAGCAGATCATAATGATAAAGATTTATAATAATAAAAGTCGTGACCAGCACCCTACTATAAGTCAACTATATGGTTGTAACAGGAGTTTCTGACCGCTCACTTGTTAATCGGTGGCTCCCACCTCCTCACTAACGTGTACAGAACGAGGAAAAACGTCCACTTTACTTGTACTCGCTGAACACAGCAGTCCGACAGCTACTTCCGTGTACTTCTGTCCGGTGTGTTACGTATTCACGTTCTGTTATTGCACTGACGTAGGAGGAGTGACGCTTCCATTGGCCAGTAAAAAGGTTACGTCAGCTCGTTCGCCATATTGGGAGTGGCTAGCTTAATTTCATAATCAAGACTGCCATACTTAGAATCTATTTTTCCAAGTTAAGGAAGCACCAAAATGTGTGTTTAACGAGTTGCTAATAACTAGTAATTAGGGCTTCGTAATTATTTACCTATTAATTATATGTGACGGATACAGAACAATATATATATATTTTCTTCCACCAGTAGCGCCATCTAGTGGTGTGACTCAAGCTGTTACTAACCGCTTGTAACGTACACGGCGGCAGCTCCAAAGATCCGAGTCTTATCAGCTGCAAACAGCGAAAACACTCCCTAAGCTGACTGTTGTTATGTCATCTTCTGCAGGTAAGAGGTCATTTTAAAACTCCGGACAAAGTCTTTCCAAAATCGACGAGGCACTGGAGTTTTACTTCGGTTACATAATGATTACAGTTCTAGTTTTACACTTCAAGTCCAGCTGTAACCGGATGTTCGCAGCACATGGAGCTATTATGCTTTATTAAACTTTTTATTTATTTATTTATTTATTTTTTAATGAAATATCCACTCGGAATAATTGTTTTCAGGGCGTAGCCAAAAATAACAATAACATTTAATTGAATTTTCTTTAAATGTTATATCTCGACACATTTAAGGGAAAGATGCAGTGTTTTCAAGATGATTCTGCTACAAAGTGGCATGCACATGTATTCAACCTAAAAGGACATTCATTTCAGTTCAGTTTATTTATATAGCGTAAAGTCACAACACATTTTATCTCAAGGCCATGGGCGGTTCTAGAAAGGGGCCGATCATGTTATGACCCTTGTTGTGGCCCCTGTACTGAAGACATAATACACAGAGAAGTTCTAATGATGATATGCGCTGGAACAGAAATGGTTACTGATAGGTCCTTTGGATCTGTTTCATTCAAAGTTTTCTATATAAGGAAAACCAGTTGATTGCATCGACACATTGACACGAAGGGAATCCCTCTCACTAAGCATGCTTGTAGCGACAGTGGAGAGGAAAACCTCCCTTTTAACAGGAAGAAACTTGGCTCTGTGTGAGTGGCCATCTCCCGAGGCCGATTGGGATTCAAGGAGACAGAAGCAGAAATACAGAAAGAAGCAGAGATACAAAAGGCAGCTGTAAACCAGCTCCACAGGCGGCCCCGTCCAGGAAACACACAGCCAGGCAGACGAGCTCCGAGCCAGCTCCCATGTCAGAGGATGAAGAGAGCACATCCAGTTAGTCACAGTCAGAGAAACAGGACTACACTGAAAAACATGCCAGGCTCCAACATCTATGAACAAAGGTGTTGATGGCATTCATCTCAAATTAGAAAAAAGATCAATTTGTGGAGGCCTTTATGTTTAATATCATCATGAACACCAGGACTAAGGGCAGATCAGGACCGGTCCGGTAGTAGTTATTTTTAAGGCACTTTAATGCTTTTTTATGTTAAAGTGACCATCACACAGCCTGTCAGAATGTTGTTCTTATAAATGCATAAATACCCTGATTTTTCCAGGTGGGATGAACTTGGACGAGTACTTCCAAAGGATAGGCTTCCAAGGCCCTCATGATAAAGCGGATCTTGAAACCTTGACATCGATCCACCAGCTGCACATCATGTCGATTCCTTTTGAAAACCTCAGCATTCACTGTGGCGAGTGGATCACCATGGACCTGGAGGTTATTTTCAATAAGCTGGTGAGGAGCAGCCGTGGAGGCTGGTGCCTTGAGAACAACTCCCTGTTTGGATGGGTGCTGAGAGAAATGGGCTTCGATGCGACAACGCTGAGCTCCAGAGCTTTCAACAGTATCATCAATGACTTTGGTGCTCTAGATTCTCACCTCATTCACAAAGTTATCATTGACGGGAAGGCTTATATAGCTGATGTTAGCTTTGGAGTGTCTTCCCAGATACGGGAGCCATTGGAGCTCATTTCTGGAAAGGACCAACCACAGGCAGCAGGGGTGTTTCGTCTTATCAATAAGGGGGACATCTGGATCCTGGAGAAGACAGGAAGGAAACCAGAGGTTCTGAATCCAGAATTTCACAAATCCAGCCTGGTAAACAGGAAGGAGACGAAGCAGATCTACTGTTTCACCCTGGATCCTCGACAGGGCGATCATTTCACCGATAAAAGCCAGAGACTCCAGAGAGACCCCGCCTCCCTCTTCACCAACAAGTCCATCTGCTCCCTGCAAACGCCTTCAGGATTCAAAGCTCTGATTGGCTGGACTTACAGCGAGGTCACCTACAAGCCAGAGGAAGGGTTGGATGTCTTAGACATGAGGAACGTAGCAGATGATGAGATTGATAAAGTTCTATGGGAACATTTTAATGTGAAGCTTCAGAACAAACTAAAGCCTGTATGCAACAAAACATTTTACACTCTTTGATAAAAAAAAAAAAACACTCCGGAGAAGTAGGGAAACCTTTAACTCAACATTTCCACCAAGTTATATGTTATACAATAGATACAAACTCTAACTCTACTTAGAAGCAATGTAAAATGACTTAAGTATTAAATATGTTTAAAACAAGGTTCACTGTTTGAAATATACTCATATATTTTGCGTTATTTAAATTTCTTGTTTCAAATTTTAAGTGGAAATGCATGTGATGGATGCACAATTTAACAGATTTTATTCTTCTCCTGTAATGAAGAGGACTTCCTTGTTTAGTAGGCATTTCTTTAATATTGTACCCATATAGTATTACCACGTCGGGACGTTCACTTTTTATTTTTATTATCGTGAAGACTACTAAAACCATGCTAACCTCTAATCATTTGGACCAACAACAGTCTTATGTGTTTGCACTTATAGCTTTGTATTTCAAGTATTTTCCTAAAGTTTGGAAGCAAAATGTAAACAGTTTTTCTAGATAAAACTAGAATTAAAAAGGCAGTGATGTAAATGTTCCAATTATGTGTATAACTCCTCTTTAAATCTCTTTCTAGCAATGTTTTATTTCACGTTTTGATTTGTTTTGAAATCATAATCACTTTGTAAAACTTTTCTTTTGTCCTAAATTCCTTGAGTGGATTAATACAGTGTATAAGACTCATCTTAAACACACCATAGAGTCAGGAGTTAGCTGCTGTGTAAACCATACTTATACAAAGGTCATTAAATCAAATTTCTTAGCTGTTAGTAGTGGCTGTAAAGCAGCACTTTTTTCTCTCGACCAGAATTTTTTCCTTGCACCAAACTTTCTAAAAAAAAAATAGCAATGAATAAATCATTTTGCAAAGCCAGCTTCTTTAGAAATGACCTTTTGTATCTTACCCTGCTTTTGTAAGAAGGTAGATAAGAAAAACTGAATTGTATAGCACCTTTCACAGATAGCAGAATCACAAAGATTTTAAAGATTGTCAGTGACTCTGCTGTGTCCCTTTTTATTGCTTTCGTCATACAGATTTTTCTTCCAATAATCAGTAGGAAATGAACAGATTAAATAAATATCTGAATGAAATGACTGTATGTCATATGAGTTTCACGTTTTTATAGATTTAGCTTCTCAATGCACCCCTGGACTATGATCCAATTGGAATGTGGAATGTTTTGTAAAGTCTAAAGTCTGGAGCTTTAGTAAACCTGCAGGTCAAGGTGTGCTGCCGTTCTTGCAACCGTTCTTGTGCGCTAACTGTTTACTCTGTCAGACACTCTCACATGACTTGGCAAACAACCAGCTTATCCAAACGTTGTCAGATATTAAATCTTTACGAATCTGAAGTTTTTCTGTAGTTTTGATTGTTTGACTGAGGTAAGATTGAATAGCTTCTTCTTTTTCTTTCTTTTATTATTGCTTGTATTTATTTTGGAGGATTTCATATTTTTCTTTTGCTATTGAGCAGGCTTTAGGCACATTTTTAAAAGGCAAGTAAAAACGGACCTAATGGATAAATGTAATTTCCTACGTTTTCCAGGTGAAATGAATCTGGACGAGTACTTCCAAAGGATAGGCTACCACGGCCCTCGTGATAAAGCGGATCTTGAAACCTTGACATCGATCCACCAGCTGCACATCATGTCGATTCCTTTTGAAAACCTCAGCATTCACTGTGGCGAGTGGAACACCATTGACCTGGAGGTTATTTTTAATAAGCTGGTGAGGAGCAGCCGTGGAGGCTGGTGCCTTGAGAACAACTCCCTGTTTGGATGGGTGCTGAGAGAAATGGGCTTCAACGTCACTACGCTGGGTGCTAGAGTTTTTAACAGCACCACCAACGACTTTTCACCTAGGGAGGGTCATCTTGTCAACATGGTTCAAATTGACGGGAAGGCTTATATAGCTGATGTAAGCTTTGGAGTGTCTTCCCAGATATGGGAACCGCTGGAGATCATCTCTGGAAAGGACCAACCGCAGGCAGCAGGGGTGTTTCGCCTTATCAACAAGGGGGACAACTGGAACCTGGAGAAGACAGGAAGGAAACCAGAGGTTCTGAATCCAAAATTTTCATCTTCCGGCCTGGTGAACAGGATGCAAACATATCAGATATACTGCTTCACCCTGGAGCCCAGAGAAGCACACAATTTCACAGAAACAAACCAAGCTCTTCAAACCGATCCAACCTCTTTGTTCATCAATAAGTCCATCTGCTCCCTGCAAACGCCTTCAGGATTCAAAGCTCTGATTGGCTGGACCTACAGCGAGATCACCTACAAACCAGAAGAAGGGGTGGATGTCTTTGATATAAGAGACATTACTGAGGATGAGCTCGATCAAGTCCTGAAGGAACAGTTTAATTTAAGGCTGCAGAAGAAGATGAAGCCTGCAAACAAAAAAGCATGCTACACACTTTAGAAAATAACTAGAATACTTTTTAATGACTTGTTTGATAATATACAAGCTGCATTTAATCAGATGTTCATCCTTTGTTTTTATTCAAAATATCAATCATCAAAATGTCAATTCAAAGTCTTGTTTTTTTTTTATCAATAAAGAAAATTAAATCCAAACAAGTTAATTATTTCCTCCTTTGATGAATTTGTCCACGTGACATATGTCTTTACGCTTCTCAAAGATATATAGTTTGAATTATTAAGGAAAAAATATTTAGTTCGTGTTATTGTTTACAGAGAAAATGTAAGTGCAAATATATTTACTTATAAAAAAAATAATAAAAAGCAATTAATTTACCATGATATTTGTCAAATATAAACGGTAGATGGTGAATATATATATATATACAAAGAAAACTAAAATGTTTTACCAAGTTCAAATATTACCAGTACCAAAATAAGCAAAATTCGTTCAAATTACAATATCTGTTTTCCAAAGAATTTCAGTGAAAAGGAAGAAAAAATATAATTACCTATGAGCACAAAAGATGGTTGAAAGCTTTATTTTTTTCTCCTACGACAGCATTTTGAATGAATAACCTCTTATTTTCCTTGAAAGTGTACAAAGTTCGAAAAATACAAATCAAAGGAAAATCGGGCATTAAAGTCTGAGATTTAATTTAGCACTAAACAGCGCCATCTGCTGTTCATGTGTAGATATTACAAGTCAGGGCAGAATATCTGCGTTTGGTCCCGCCCTTTAAAAGCTTTTCATCCAATCAGTTTATAGTTGGGGATTTACCCAATGCTGATTGGTCAGAAAGCCCGTCCTTCATGTTAGAGGAAACAGAGGCACAACCAAACAACGAGTAGCTTCTTGGCGAGACAGAGATGAATTCCTTGGAGCAGGCCGAAGGTAACAAACAATTAAAGCGGGTTATTTTCACCTTGATTCGTAACCCCTTTAAGCGTCCTACTGTGTTTTATGGATAAGAAATAAATAAAAAAGAAAACATACATTTATTTTGTTGTCAAGATGGAAACCCGGCATGAGGAGTTGCTAGTTTTATTAGCATACTTGCTAGCCTTGCGTGGAATTTTTCTGTCGTTTCCCTTTTAGTTGACATTTGCATATTTTAACATCTGTTCTGTGATACAAGCAAAAAAGTAGGAGATTTGTTTTGATAAAAACATTTAAGTTGTGTGCTGTTTAAGCTTAAAAAAAGAAATAAAATTGTGCTAAACTTAATACTTGTATTTGTGCATGATAGCAAAGTTCCTGTTGCCTGACAGTCATATAAATAAAAGATTTAAGTCCACCCTACATAATCGATGCTCACTATAAACGGTTTTTAATGTGTCCCTTCATTCAACAGACCTGAAGGCGTTTGAGAGAAGGCTGACCGAATATGTCTCATGTTTACAACCTGCAACAGGCAGGTGGAGAAGTGAGTACCTGTTATTACTGACCTGAGGTCTGTCAGGGTGGGAAGGGACTTTCAAAGCAATGGCTTCCTATTTCTATTAATCACTTTCTACAATTAACCAAAAATATTAGTAGAAAAAGAGCCCCCAAATGGGCGGATTGTGCCAAGATCTGGTCACCTTTAGAGGAACAGGGGATTAGAAAGGTAAATATTCTGCTACTTTGGGAGTGTTGAAGAGTAGATGGGTCTGCCTTTAGTCATTAGGAGCGACTCTGTACTAACATGTTTCCTGCAACCATATTTGTTTAAACACTGATGCTCACATCCACACTGGATGGTTTTATAAATCATATTTTGAAAATTGGATGACGCCTCATGACGCCTCAAATGTAAACTAGTTTCTCACAACTGGTTTAGCTTATAATGACCTTTAAAAGCCTTTCAATTGATACAAATACCGGTATTATAAATGCTGATGGAGATTTTTAAAAAAACAAAACAAAATTCTAATGGGATTTATGTGCTTTATTTTACATTAAAACCTGTAAAAAATATATTTTTTATAGATTTAAGTTGTTCAAATGTTTACCTTAAGGCAGGGGTGTTCAATGTTTTCCAGGCAAAGGACCCCTAACCTGATGGTGAGATGGAGGGGGAAAACCTAATTATATATATTGTATGAAATAGTGTTATATCAAACTGGTCCCATAGTCACTCTATTACAGATGGAGTAATGTAACTGAAGTAATTTCTCCCTGAGATTATTAAAGTATTTCTGATTCTGATTCCTGGTTGATGGGGCAGGTGTTGTGAACGAAACGGTGCCCAGTTTAAAAGAGATCTTGTTGGTTGCTGAATGTGTTCATTGATGACTGAAAGACATCTGCCTCCATTTATCTGTTTACTACAGTGTGTTGGATTCATGCATCACTAAAACACTTGCAGCCGATCAGCAATAAACTCGACGGTGTAATGTTCTAACTTGGTTGTTTTTTTTTTTGTTTCTTTTTCCCAGTGATTTTGATAGTGGTGTCTGTTTGCACAGCCACAGGGGCTTGGAACTGGTTGATAGACCCAGACACTCAAAAGGTTTGTGTTACCAAGAGAAGAAAGCTTAATTCAGGAATACATTTTCACAGCTGCTTCTCCCAACAATTAAAAAACAATCATTTCCAATCCTTAAAGGAGCTTTGTCCAAGTGTAAAGACTAAATATAACTTTTTTTAATACATGCCCTTACAATTGCCCGACGTGTAAAACGAGCCTCCCTGTATGTACCGCTCCATTAGTCAGTTCATGAGAGGTGGGTTATTATGAGACAACAGGACTCTAAACACGAATTCACAAAAGTCTTTATTTCAAGTTGTCCCCAGACAGGCAAAACTTTCACCTTTATATTTAAGCCATGCTCCTTTAAGCCTTGATTTATGAATTTAAAATCAATCCTTTTTTCTGTTGACATCAAAGTCCCATGAGAACGTTAGAGGAACAATAAACCAACAACTGGAAGCAGCAAATACAAACCAGTACCAGGTCGGCTACAAAATGTCATCTTATTGTGTTGTTGGTTGCCTGGATAAACAGACTGTAGGCAACTTAAAATTTTACGGTATACCTGCTGCTACAGCCAGTCGCAAAAACGGACATCAGCTGTGCTTACATGCAATAAAACGAGCTAACTGGACAGGAACATATCATTAAAATTTCTTTCATATGCATGGCACACTTCATATCCGGTAAGTTAAGATAAATAAAACACTTATATACAAAACTATACACAGATTTCTTATAATGATATGTGCCATTTATTGAAATTGACAGTTATTTCTCTGCTAATGCTAACTTTATTTAGCTAATTGTTAGCTAAGTTTGTTGGCAGTAAAACTAAGATGACCATGCTAATCCAATCTAATCTGATATTAGCTAAATTACTCACCCAGCCATGCAAGCGCAGTGTGCCTTCAAGGTGTTGTTCCTTTTGTTAACGATGAGCCATGCCCGGTACACGGGTGTCTTCTGGCCTTGGGGCAGAACTTCAGACCATTTAAAACAAAATTCGTCTGTAATTTATTTGGTGAGTGACCATTCAGAATGTAGCGGTAGGCATTTAAGGATTTATATCCTCTTGGTTTCTCTATCAGGTTGGTATAAATATCAAACCACTGAGCCGAAGGGAATCCTGTCAGATCTTCCATTCATTGAGTAATGGTATTAGGGGTAAATCAGTCAGATTTTCTATTTACTATTGCTGTTCTAGACGTGAGAAACATTTCATATTCAGATAAAATCGGTTTTCTAAAGCCATTCAAAAAAAATACCCGGTAAAAAAATCTTGCAATTCATCATTCAGGGGCATCTGTCTGCCTCCAGCTATGCCCCGCCCACAAAATACGTCACAATGATTATCAAGTGAAAAGGGGTCAATATGCAAATAACTTTAAGCTATTTTCTAGTGGATCTTTTTTAACCTATTCCAAATGCTGCTTCTGTCCCTTCTTGTTTTGCAGGTTTCTTTTTTGTCATCACTTTGGAATCATCCCTTCTTCACCATCAGTTGCATCACCCTAATAGCCCTCTTCTTTGCTGGGATACATAAACGGGTGGTAGCACCCTCGATGTATCCTTTTTCTGCGCCAGTGAAAATAATGTTTTTTTTTTAAACGTTACAGGTTTTTATTTTCTTTGACTCCCTTTTCTTCAGAATTGCTGCCCGCTGCCGCACAGTTTTAGCAGAATACAACATGTCCTGTGATGATGTAAGCTTGTCAATCCCTGGGAAATCTATAATTTGGGTTAAGTGTTTGCATTTTTTTCCTAATATTGTATTGAAATTTCTTGACAGACGGGAAAACTCATTCTCAAACCTCGACCAAACATTCAGTAACTACCGCTCAGGACGCTCTGGTGGTTTTCATCAATGGATGACGGTCCTTTGAGGCGTCTGAGGATCAGCGAGAGGGCGGTGAAGAAGATTTCATCATCGTGATCATTTAGAATGAAGAAACGGACCGAAAGGGTTTTTAAAAAAAAGAAGTTTGGCCGCGATATTACTGAAGCTCCTGATCTCACACAACCCTTGATGTATTTTACATTTTTGAGTTGAGATGTTTTTTTGAAGTCGAGCATGTATTTTATCTAAATGTTTCTATTTTTAAATTTATTTACCTAATAAACACACAGAGTGTGGAATTTCCTTATTCCTTTTCTTGTGTTTTCTCATGTTATATCTAAACAATATTTAAATAAAAAAACAGAACTTTATAAAGGCACTTTTCAGAGCACTGCATTTAGATTTGCAGACTATATTCATTTTTTAACACCAGAATATGATGCTATTTTAGCATAATTGTGTGTAATTAGCATACTAGCATAACTATTTACTTAAACTGAGATGCGTAACTATTTACTCAGTTACAAGAATAACCGTTCGGGGATAAAATGGGAAAAAAATTCCACACCGTTTTTCTTCTACTTTAAAGAATGTGTTTTTTTTCCATGCAAATAGTTTTGGCGTCATGATAACCTGCCACTCACAACATGGCCGACGTAATAACACGAAGAAGTATTTGCCAGCGGAGTTGCGACAGCGTCACTGACTGCTTTCCGGCAGTCTTCCTTTCCCACATGGTTCCAAGCTAACGTGGAGCTGCTGTGTTTTGGAGGCTGGTCTCCAACTAACCGGACAGAAAACCACAGACGGATATTTCGCCACATGAGAGCTTAAGGTTAGAGAGAAATGGGTAAAACTAAAACAGCCAAGTTTAAACGGCCGCAGTTCAACTCTGTGGGCCTGCCGGTGAGCGCCGTGAAGGAAGCGGACGGTCCGGAGGAAGAGCTCGATGAGGACAGCTGTCCTGCTGCTGAGCTGCTGGAAAAAGTAGGAGCATGAAGTTTGATTCATCAAACCCTCTGAGCCTCTGTAAAGCTGAGCTGTATCCATTATATACTAGGTTCTATTATAAAACGCTGTCATTATGTCTGGCAATGTGGGAAAATATACACATCTATAATAGTGCCATAAATTATATAGTTGCATCGTCTGTCTACTAGGAATATTCATGCCCATTTATTATAATTTAGTTAACTTTTTTGTTTGTTTTATCGACGTGACATATTGACTTTTACACTAGTTTAAATGAAATGAATATTTAGATTTAACATAAATGATTTAATTTTCACTTGTATGCTTTATCTCAGATTTAACGCTAATTTTGTCTCCTCTTTTAATAAAGTTTCCCCTCCAGTCTTTTAAACCACTTTTGTACACATCATAATGTTTATAAGTGACATCTTTTTTTTCTCCCCAAACTTGAATGCTCCTCTCTTTATTGTTTATTGACTGATCAGATCATGATTGCGCATTTAATCACTAAAACCAACTATGACACAAAAATGACCTGTGACACATTAACTTAATGAGCTCATAAATGTTGTGTTGGGCAGAGGCAGCTGATATCACTCTGTCATGCTGATAAGAAAAAAGCTGAATTGTGTCACACTATGTTGCATCTTTCATATTTGTCCCACAGTTATCAATGAAACTCATGTATTTATTGAGTAATTAACACATTTTATTACTTTAGGACATCCAAGAATCTTCTACCAGTGGAGATTAAACAAATTGAACTTTTAGCCACCAGTTTCAGATGTGATTGCTTCTGCTTTAAAAACAAAAAATGTGAACTTTACTTGTTTGTTGGAAGGGTAATAAACAAAACCAGATTTTCTCTCCAGGAAAAACTAAGCCAGCGTTGGATGAGCACTCTAATACTTTTACACATTGTTGACCACAATGTGTAAAAGTTTTTCCTCCCTGATCTTTACTAAAAACACTGCAGAGAATAAATAATTTCTAAACGCCTTCCTAGATCAGCTCCAGCCAGCCGTCAAGAAGAAACCCGGTGACAATCTGCACATTTTTCAGTTTGGTAGAGCAGGAAGTTTATCTAAACATAGAAGCTTTGGGTCCAAAGCCTGGGACAATCGCTATGCATGACGATAAAATAACTTCTGCTTTGTTTTGTATAAACTTGTGTTTCTTGATTAAAGCTTTTCAAACCTGTGAAATGAGTCACAGATGTTTGGCCTCTGTTCTGCATTTGGACATCTATTTGTGCTTTAGCAGGAAAAAGAAAAGCTTCAAATTCATTATGCATGTTAGGTTATTCTGCTCTGATTCAGAAAACCAATAAAACAATTTAACAGCCTGTATTTGGGTTTTTTTCTCCAGTTGCAGAGTCCCAGTGCAGACATTCGAGAGTTTGCCTGTGCCAGCATCTCTCGGGTGGTGCAGCAGAGCCAGACCATCCCTGGTTTCCTTCAGAGGGACGCTGTCAGACGGCTGGGCCCCATGCTGCTGGACGGCAGCTTGGCCGTCAGAGAGACAGCTGCTGGGGCGCTCAGGTAAAGTAGCTGACTGCAGCGCTATATCTTTTTTTTTTAATCGCTTATTTCAGCCCTGAAGAAAACTCAAAGTAAATGATCAGAGTTTCATGGTCAGAATCCACTTCTTCTTCTGGCGGGATGACCATGATGGAGGTTTTTAGCCTCCCCTTCACACTGGCCGAAAAACCAACTTCAAACTCACTGACACGTGTCTACCCAGGTCAAACAAATAGGTAGGCGACCAGTGTTAGAATTGCCTCGCCTCTGAATGCAGAGATTAAAGTATTCCAGTTAGTAGCGATTGCCAGTGGGGAAAAAAAATCAATCGAAAATAAATTGACAGTAAATTAATTTTAAAAAAACACAATCGAAATCCTTCTTGCGTTTGTCAGCCAAAAGTAGCAAAGGAGCGCTCTGAAACTAACAGTATTAGCCAAACAGAAGAAGAAGGGGGCGGGTGCTGTTTGTGTGTTTGCCGGGGGCTACGGCAACAGCCGATGTACCAGCGTCAATAACTGACCGTGTATGAGAGTTAAAAATACGAGTTTGTGATTTCCTCGAACATGACCCATCAGATATAGATGCGCTTTTGCCATCTTCTGGCCGCTTTTGGTATTGGATTTTCAAAAGTCAAATTTAGTGTTCGGTTAATTCATGCAATCTCTGATCCCATGCCCCCACACCCTCCTGGCATGGCTTGAAAATGTGTGTGTGTGTGTTAAGGATGGAACGGTTTATGAAAACCGTCCCAACCATTCGGTTCGACTGTCTCTGTTCGGTTCGCGTGTGTTTCGTTCGGTTCATGACAATGGCCTGGCTTCACGCGCGTATAGGCGCATCAAAAGGTCCCGCAGCACGTTTTGAGCAGCAGGCGCAGCGCGTCGGGAGCGTTTATGTGACGCGCCGCCAACGCGCTGCTGCTGCTCGAGATGGAAAAATTGAAGTTTTGCTGCTGGACGCGCCGCATCAACCAATCAGAGAAGCTGATCTGGGAGCTGACAGCGAGACAGACACAGCGCTCTGATGACATATGATATTAAGGCAAATGAAAAGGGCTGGATGGATGAAGAGATGATGAAAGAGTGGTTGAGGGAGATGTATGTGAGGAGACCAGGTGGTTTTTTCCACGCATCACCATCGCTGTTAATCTGTGACTCCATGCGTGCCCATCTCACAGCCGATGTGAAAAACATGGTGAAACAAATAAACGCTGTGCTCGCCGTTATCCCGGGAGGTCTGACAAAGGAACGCCAAGTTACGCCACCGTTTGCTCCTTTTTCTCATAGGCGAAGCGTTTACACTCCAGAGCAGAAGGTGGCGGTACTGCGACCAAAGCCAACCACCAGTAGTAAACAAGAAGAAGCGAAGCAGCGTAGCCGGGTGTAGCAGAAAAAAATCAGTTGTTGTGGAGAATTGTGTGGGTATGGCGAGTGGGAAAGAACAGGAGTTGGAAGACGCGCCAGCAGCACTTTATAGGTCTGCTGTATGGGACCACTTTGCATTTAGAGTGACCTACGATGACGGTGGAAAGAAAGTTGTGGATAAAAGTGCAACAGTGTGCAAGCATTGTGCAACACGTTTTGTTTATGCTAACAGCAACATGACCAACATGTCATGCTAACACTCAACATATACCGAACCGAAAACCGTGACCACGGAACTGTGAACCGAACCGTGGATTTTGTGAACCGTTCCACCCCTAGTCTGTGTGTGTGTGTATATGTATATATATATATATATATATATATATATACATAAGTTTCCTGCTGTGTTGAAAAGGTTCAGGCTCAGGATTTTTTTTCTTTAATCCCTGTTAATGGCATACTGTGGGAACAGCAGAGCCGGATTGACCTGCTAATTTACGTGATACTATTAAACGCAACGTACAGACGTCAGCACTCCGTGCCACGGTTGATATAAGAAGCAGAAACAACTCCGTTTACGTTCCATAAACATGAAGCAGCACTGGTGGGAGGGATTTTGAAAGTTAATACAGTGAAACAATAAAGCATACTGACTATGCCCTGGCTTCCTTACATGTTTCTCGCCATTGTTTACTTTCCTGATTTCTTTCTCACTGGTTAGACTCCGCTTTTTTTGCCAGTGGGAAGGGAACCATATGCCGATTGTTAGAGGGTCGATCCATTTAAAAAAAACACGAGCTAACCTGGTATTTTCAATAGGAAAGTGGCTTAAGAAGGGCGGCTCATGCTGTGGTGTCTTTGCTCTGTGACTCATACGGGATCTCTGAAGTTTCTGACGAGTGTTCGTCTCCCCACAGAAATCTGAGTGCATGTGGAGGTCAGGAGGTGTGCGAGGACATGGTGAAGCACGATGTCATGACGCCGCTGATGATGCTGCTTCGAGAGGTGAGACACCACTGCCGCTTACAGCTCACTCCATCTTAGCTGCTATTTGTCATCAGGCTGTTATAACTGCAGGAAAGAGGTCCAGTGGTTCTCTTTTAGATTTAACTGGTTGAAAGTTTTGATCTATTGTCCACCTCTAGAACATAAATCAATTCCCTATTAAGATGTGTTATGAACCAGTTTAAAACAAATATTTGTGTCCACCTGCTGGTCTGCTGTTGTTAGGGTCAGATTTCTGTTTTCTTTCCAGTGTTGTGCTGGTTTTGACACTGCGGCTGTGGAGATGAAAGAGCAGAGCAATCCTGTGGAGGATGTGGCCAATGAGGCCGTGAACCTGCTGTGGAATCTGTGGTAAGCTATCCGGGTTTTTTTCCCTTCCTGGTATAGATGTTGCTGCAGTAAGTCCTATTAAAGACAAACAGGCCCACAGCATCACAGATCTTCTACCATGCTCAAAAAAACAAAAATATTATTGTAGTCCCGGTTTATTTCTAGCTCAGGGGACTGCAACCTTTACAATCTCAAGAGCCAATTTGGACTTCAGTCTAGCGAATAAAACTTTAGAGCTGCAAACATTTCCAGGTCTTTATTTTATTATTTGTTTTTTTTTTTTAAATGATAACTCATTTAACAAATATCTACCAAAAGTTGGTGATATTTTTTGGAAAATTGTGCTTGGAAAAAACATTTTCACACTTACAAAAAGATCTAAAATTTATTTCTGATATAATTGGTTGAATTATTTTGTGAGTAAAGAAAAGATTTTAGTCTAGTCTAGCTAACAAAACTAATTTACAAACATGTTCCCCTTTTTAACAAAAATATGTTATAT